GGGAAGGAACTGTGCCCACCTCTAGGGGAGGGAGGCTTAAATGGAGGTGATGGGGGCTAGTGCTTGCGGAGCCCTGGCTCGTGTTATGTGTGGCATGTGTCAGCGAATGACAGGGAACCACAGTGGGCTCACGTGGGCACAGTGATAGCAATGCCCTAAAGGGAGGATTAAGGCCATGCTGTGTGTATTCTCCCCAGTAAGTCCGGAATTTGGAATTCTTTCCTCTCTCTCTCTCTTTTCTTTTCCCTCGAAATAGCTGCTTGGGGATACGAGACACTTTAATATGTTCAGTTAGGAAAGAGGGAGATTCGTCCTTTCAGAGATCTGTTAGGTTAGGCTATTCAGCGTTATTGTGTAACTCATGAATTCATTATTTCTGAGTCACTGAATTTCGAGTGGGTTATTATTACTATTTTTTAATTGGCTGAGGGTGCATGTGCTCACCAGAGAGAGATGCACAGGAAGAGGGAGAAAGCACCTCCTGATGAGACGTGGTCATGCTGCCATCCTTTCTCCTCCATTTCTCCACCCTGTTGGGGTTTGGGGCACGCATGCACATGTGCCCAGAATATTTTTCAAGCTGCTGGACTGGGACTCAAATTGCAGTTGGCCACGTGGGATTTAGCCCCTTAACCACTAGGCTATGGGGCCAGTATAGGATTAATGATTTTTTTTTAAGAAGTACTCCTTTTATTTGATTTATTATTATTATTATTATTATTATTTAATTTGCTATAGTCATCAGAGAGAGACAGGGAGGGAAGCTGGAGAGTGAGAAAGCAAGCCACTTGAACCACAGTCAACCATGTGGGAGTCCAGCACCCCAGCCACCATAGCGCCTGCCGGCCCCAATGGTTAAGGAGTTTTAAAAAAGAAATGACAGGGGCCAGCAGGTGGTGTAGTGGTTAAGGGCACTAGACTCCCACATGGCCGATTGTGGTTCGAGTCCCAGATCCGGTGGCGTGCTTTCTCACTTCCCTTCGCTCTCTCTCACTCTGTTCCTCTCTGGTCAAATTATAAATACATAAAGTTAAATAAAACAATTCTTTTTTTTAAAAAAGGGCAAACCCTTCAATGGTGGTTGAACATTTAGCTGTAAGAATAGGGATCAGCTGCTAAGCTGGATTGCCCTGTCCAGATGCTTTTCCAGGTGTGTGAATGTGCGAATGTGTGCACCCGCCCTCTGCGTGCCTTTCTTCTTTCTCTGTGTGGGAAGGTGGTTTTGCTTTTGCTGTTGCTTTAAGACAGGATCCTACTGTGTCCGCTCTTCCCCCTTAGCTTCCTGCGTAGCTGGGGCACAGATGCGTACACTGTCCTGGGATTTCAGAGTAGGCTGGGAATCGAACCCGGCCTCCTCTGTGGCCTCAGCCTGCCAAGCAGCAGCGTCCTGTGTGTGCTACCATGGCTGGCCCTGCAGGCTTTCTTTCTAAAGGTGACGTGTCCTTGGGCCAAGCCCTGGCAGGTGGCTGTGAGCAAGCTGTTGTGAAGGTTGGACGTGACTCAGCCCCTGTGGACTCCTCGGGTCTGTTCAGAGCTTCCCTGAGACTTTGTTACTCAGTGTTCTGCTGCAAGGTCTAACATGCAGCTGATCTTTCACATTCGGTTATTTGGCAGTTTTCCCCTAAACGTGGGTTGGCTTATTCTTTCTTACCTGCACTGGATGTTCTCCTAGGCAGATTTTAACCGACGGCTCCATCAGCTGCCGAGGCCTGCTCAGGGTGCAGATAGGTTCTCAGCCTCGGCTGCAGTCCACAGCCTGTGTGGAGAGCTGTCACTGCCACCCTGCCACACCACAGACCAGTAGTGTTCCGTAATCAGGATTTCAAAAGTTCCCGGGGATTCCAGTGTTCAACTGGCGGAGCAACCGACAGCCATCAGTGTGCAGGGAGGTGTGGAACAGGGCCCAGGAAGGCCCTGGAGGGGTCGACCCTGCAGGTGTGGTGGGTGAGATAGTGCATGCCACCCTCCGTCCTGGGCTGAGGAGCTGGCTTTCAGGTTATGGCACACCCCTGCTGTTCCCCGCCTCCCCACCCCACTCCACCTTGGCTGTTGCAGGAGTCAGGGGCTCTCTCCACACTGCAAGAACAGACCCCAAATGAAGGTACAAGGGAGGCGGAGAGCAGCCAGGAAGACAGGATGTGGGTCCCACGCCCGTCTCTCGCTAACTTGGCTGCTCTACCTCTTCTGTGGAGAAGGGCAGCGTCATGTTCACCCTGTGCTTTTGGGGTTTGTTTGTTTGTTTGTTTACTCCCAGAGACAAGGAGAAGCACCCTTACCTTTCCCGAGCCTCGCGATGGATTCGGAGCCCATGGCTAGGGAAGAAGGTGCAGGCTCTGAGGCAGCAGGGAGGGAGGTGCCAGGTGACGGACAAGCCATCTGTGACTTGTTTGCTGCATCCTTGTTCCCCTGTCACCTCCGGCTGATGGTCGGTGGAGGGGACTTCTTGCGGGGGCCATATGGAGAGCCGGGAGCTCAGATGAAGGTTTCTGCAGAGCAGTGGCCAGAGAGGTTCCCCGTTATGGTTCTCCGCCGCCCTGCACAGGGGCCTTAGAGCTGCTGAGGCCAGGACCTGCCCTGCCCTGTGGAAACAGAGGCTCTGGAGGGCGAGGCTGAGCCTGGGTGGAAGTGAGCCCGGGCCTCAGCAGTGTGATGAGAGTGATAAGGGTGGCATTCACTATTTCAGGAACTCAGGCAAATTCGCATTGTGCTCACAGCTGATGAAGAGGAAGTTATTGAGGGCAGGCTGGCAGGTCCCCACCCTCCATGGAGACACGTGGAGTTCACTCTTTCTAAAGGTCAGGGAAGGGGGGTGTGCCACCTCAGCAGCCGGGCAGACTTGGAGTGTGTGTCCCTCCTGCACCTGCCCTTGGCTGCACTCGGGCGACTGACAGGGCAGGGCGGTACAGTGAGTAGTGACGGGAATGAGTAGTCAGTGGCTGTTGGTTATGAAATCCACTCTGGGTCCAGAGAGCTCTGTGGGCTGAGCCTGGTAGCCGGAGCAGGGAGGTTCCGAGAGCCAGCCCTGTAAGGGAGAGTGCCCCTTTGCTGTGTGGAGAGGAGCCAGCCCTGCGCTGGGCAGTGTCGTGGTTTGAGGGCCGCCATGATGAGAACTGCAGACGGGTGGCTTAAAGCAACAGAGTGACAGCTTTCAGGGCCAGACGTCCCGGTGTCGTGTTCCTCTGAAACCCACAGGGGACTTCTGCCTCGTCTTCTCCTAGCGTCCGGTGGCTGCTGACATGCTCTGGGCTCCTGGCAGCCTTGCGGCTGTCTCTGCTTTGGTTGTCACCTGGACTCTCCCAGGGTGTCTGCGTCACCACATGGGTCATGCCATGAAGACACCCTCATGCTGCAGTAAGGGCACGGCCCTATGACAAGATGACCTTACCTTAACTAGCATTTCATTTCTGTCTCTGTTTTGTTTTTTTTTTTTGAGACATTTTCGCTATAGGGCGCGTGTGCTCGCCAGACAGACAGAGAGAGACAGAAAGCGAGAAATCACCCCCCAGGGGGGATGGTCACGCCGCAATCCCTTCTCCTCCATTCTCCTCTTGGGATCCTGGGCACGCACGCACACGCGCCCGGCGTGAGTTTTCAGCCACCGGGTCCGGGACGCGAACCGCGGTCGACTACGTGGGAGTCCAGCGACATAGCCATTACGCTAATTGTTGGTTCCCATTCTGTCTCTGTTTTTAAAGTTCGTTTTTTTCCTTTGCATGGGAGAGAAATGGGAAGAGAGCATCCCCGCCAGGATCTTGACGCTGTGGTCCACCCCCAGCTCCAGCCAGCCCTGGATCGTGGCCCACCCAGCTCGTCAGCCCTGCATCAGGGCACAGGTGCACCTGGCGTACTCGGGTCTCCACACAGGACCCTGAGACCTTCCCACGTGGGCTTCGAGAGTGTCCATGCCACTGTTCTGCCCTGAGTTTCGTTGCGCTGGACTAGTACTAACAGCATTATGCTGGCAGTGCCTCACCACCCCCCTTTTTAAAGGTTTTTGCCATAGAGGATGTGTGCTTGCCGGACAGAGTCAGTAAGAGGGCAAGTGAACAGTCACCACCCCGCACAGGGAGAATGGCCACACCACAATCCCTCCTCCTCCACCGGGATCTTGGGCATGTGTGGACACATTCCTGACATGATTTTCTTTTTTAAAAGAATTATTTTATTTAATTTTATTTATTATCATTATTATTATATTTTTAAATTTGACCAGAGACTGAGAGAGAGACTAAGGTGGAGGTGGGGAGGGGGAATGAGAAAGCAAGCCACCAGGTCCAGGACTCAAACCACGGCTGGCCATATGGGAGTCCAGCACCTCAGCCACCATGCTGCCTGGTGACCTTCGACGTGATCCTGTTTTTAAATAAGGTCATGTCCTGAGGTCACACTTCAATGTGTCTTTTTCAGGGGGCACTGATTTAACCTGTAACAGAGGGTGGGCCTGATGCTGTGCGTGCGTTAATTTAGTCTCCACACCAGCTTGTGTGACGGGCGTGATGCCCTGGATGCTTGAGGAAGCTGAGGGTGGTGGAGCTGAGGGTGCTTAATCAGGGCACGCAGGGCCGGGGCTGAGCTCAGGCTTGGGGGCTCTGGAGCCACAGGCGACTTCCCTTAGTTAGACTGGCTGGTTTCTTTGGGGGCTCCACTTGGACAGGGTCTGTAAGTCTTCTGGGTCTCTCAGGCACCAGCTGTGGAGATCAGTCAGCTGCTACGAGACCACTTTCCTCCCTCTTCACCTTTCTTGGTGAGATATCACCCATTATCAGAAGGACACACCGGAAGAAGTTGGCTTGGTTTGGTGAGGTGGTGAGTTGAGTGGAGATATTTCTTGTATTTATTTTTCTTGCTACTCTTACTGTTCTAACAGCTTAAAGTCTGAAAAGAGAAGCTTCTTAGAGCTGGGCTAGTTGATGCCCTGTGCAATGCGTCATGTGTCTCCTGGGATCCTTTCCTCTGTCAGCCTCCCTGATAAGGCCGCGCTCTGTTTCTGCCATTGCAAGCTTTTCCAGCGTGACTGCGCTGCCGTCAGAGCCAGGTGGGGTGGTGGCACGGGCCCTGGTTGCAATGGCCCGCTTCCGTGGCCTCTTGGGTGCCTGCATCCGTACGCGGCAGAGCGTTCGCACACTCGGACAGTGCACCTGCCTCAGGGCGTCACAGTCTTGAAGGCTGCATCCACTTTTCCTAAAGGGAAACTGAGCAGCCCGAGTTCAGGATCTGAACCCCCAGTACAGAACTCCTTGTAGTAGAGACATCCATGCCTGAGGAGGTACAGCGCTCCTGCTGAGCCTCCTCCACTCCATCCTATTCCATTTTAATCTTATCTGAGTTTTTGTAATTACTGGCTGGCTCTCAGCTTGCCTTTCCCCGCAGGTTCCCTGCCTGTGGATGTTGGTGGAGGTGTGTCGTGGGGTCAAAAAGGAAGGTTTTCTAAAGGCAGATTCGGTGGCTATGGTCCCCCATGGCTGTCTGACGGCCTTGGAGACAGGGCAAGTGGTGACCTTCCTCTCTCCCTTTCTTCCTAACTCTGCCCTGGACCCTGTCAGGGCCCACATGTGGTCGAGCCCTGGTCCAAAGCTTTCTTGGAACTGAAGGTGACAGGTTCTGTGAAACACATGACCCGGCAGTGTTTACAGACCAGGCCCTGGGCCTGGAGATGGAATTCAGTCCCTCGCTTCCGTGGGATGGAACCTCTGTTCTGGGCGAGGTAGTGTGGTCAGCCTGTCCTACTCTCTCCTGCTTTTTCTGCTTTCCTGAATTAGTGGTTAAATTCCCAATGGTATTACGCTGCAGAGAGAGGACTCAGCATCTCAGAGTGTACTTGAGTACTGGCCGAGAATTCTGTACTGTAGAATCTCTTCTTTCCTCAAACAAAACAAAAAAAGAAACTCTATTTAATCCCGGAGATAAATTAGTTACTGAAAGTCACTATCTCTGTCCAGTCCCAGATAAAATCAGCCATGCTGTAAGAGAATGTGTAACTGTTACTATGTTGCAAGTCTCTGAAAGTGACAGATGGCGGGCTTTAGGTAAACAGATTTCAAAAGCAGTCCACATTAAACGAAACTTCACCTACTTGTAGCATATGGAAAACCAGTTTATGTAAAGTGAGCTTAAAGAACTGGGCCCTTTCGATTTGTTTTACTCAAAGGATTCATTAAACAAATATTTATCAAGGGCACACCAGAAGCCTCCTACTCCAGGTCTTGGGAATTGATAAAGGATCCTAGGTCTTATCCGTGAATTCCTAGTACGTGCACTTGAGAAAGCTTCTGCAGGCTGTAGACATCTTGTTTTCTGTTAATTGCCAGGGAGCATGTGTGCTCACTAGAGAGAGACAGAGAGACACAGAGAGGGATGGAGAAGGCTCCCCTGCATAGGACGTGTCGTGCCACAATGCTTTGACCTCTGTCTCTTCATCTTATGGGATCTGGGACATGTATATGCAGGGCTGGACTTAGATATAATTTAATGCCTAAAAACACTTTATTATCAAAGATGGAAATGTTGACATGAAAGTCAGAAGTAGGTAGGGGCTCAAACCAGCCTGGGCTGACCACAGGGTTCGAGTCCTGGCTCCAGTGACTTGAAAAAATGCACTGAGTGCGCGTGTGCACGTGTGTGCCCCATTCCCGACGGGATGAAGAGATGGAGGAGAAGGGATTGTGGCATGGTCATTCTCCATTGAGGAGCTTTCTCTTCCTCTCTCTGTCTCTTTGGCAAGTGCACATGCCCTCTGGTTTAAATGAAAAGAAAGGAAAAAGGTAAGTATGGGCTTTGTTGCAAAGGTAATAAAAGGGTATGGTAAAGCGCTCCAAATGCTGATGTGCTAAGCTCGAGTTCTTTGGGCGTACCCCCATGCTATCGAGGTGAATGGAGCTGCTGCGGCCCGGCTGGCTGCAGTCTGCCAGTGAGAACACCTTCCTCCGGGGAAAGAGGAATCAACTCCAATGTGCCTGGCATGTAGTGGGTTGTTTTAAAGATGGTATTATGAGCTGCTGTCTTGACATACATGTGGCTTGGTAAGCCCAGCACACTTAACTCCTTTTCAAGACTCGCTTGCAATTTCACAGGCTCCCAAGAGAAGCTCTTTCCATGTGAGGGGCCGGAATCTACCACTGGAGCCTTGTCTTTCATTTTGAACTTGTGATTATGAAAATGTCTTCCTTCCCTGACTGTTTTTGGCTCTCATATTGATTACCATTTTGCAAAGGAGGCATTATTGCATTATCTTACTTATTTATTTTTCTCTGCTCTTTGAATGCCTCCAAGCCCCATTTCCTGCCTTTAATTATGCACAGGGCCATTAAACAGTGGTTTGCAAGGCGGAGCAGGACAGTGGCTCTGGGAGCATGACGTGCAGGGGCAGCAGGCCGGGCTGGTGATTGCATTTGGCAGGTAAACTGATTTGTGAGCCACGTGCTGAGAGTCTGGTCGAACAAGTTCAGCAGCCTTTCTGCATCTGTCTCTGAGCATGAAACAAGAATTCTTGGTACTGTCTTTCATGTTCGATCTTGCTGTTTTTTTTTTTTTTTGTTTTCCATTTTTTCTTTACCTTAGTACCTCCTGTGTGGGAATTGCATAGTCTAAATCTGCGGTTAGTTGGTAAAGAGGCCGCTCAGTGGTTACTGCTAAGTGGGGAGATGTGAAGTGGTTTGATGTTCTTTGTGCTTTTATACATTTTCCAAAATACCACACAGTGTTCAGGAAAATGAATTAATTTTGTAATTAAGAAGAAAAGAATGCTTTCAGGGAGACAGATTGAGACTAGATCTTATTATTTTTTCTTTTTTGGGGAATGCTTTTGAAAAGGATTTTTTTTAAAAAATGCATGTCTATTTCTTCTGAGGGAGTGAGAGACAGGCAGGTAGCAGACAGACAGACGGACAGACACATAGATCCCCAACAGGGTCTTCATGCCATGACCACCCCCGGTCTCAGCCAGTTCAGATGAAGAGCACGCATACCCAGCATGCCCGGGGCAGTCCTGGGAGGCAAACCAGGGCCTTTCTTGTGCTGGCCCTGTTGTGTCAACCACTGTGCCACCACCCGACCCTGGAGAGGAGATTCCTCATAACTGGTTCTATTGCTGTGATTTGGGGAACATAGGTCATACCTATTGGGCATGTTAAAAATGGGCTGTCGCAGGACCAGCAGATGGCATGGTGGTTACATTGCTGGACTTGCATGTAGCTGACTGCGGTTCCAGTCCTGGACCTGGAGGCTTAAAACTCACACCAGGCACGCGTGCGTAAGTGCCCAGAATCCCAAGAGGAGAAGGGATTGCGGTGTGTCCAACCCCCCAGCGGGGTGATTTCTTGCTTTCTGTTTCTCCATCTCTCTCTGCCTCTCTGGCGAATGCACGTGCCCTGTAGCAAGAATCTCTCTGGGGGGAGGGGGGCATGTCAAACGTGATGTACCACTCAGACTCAGACAGAAAGTCCCCCGTTACGGTCCACACAGCTGCCAGAGTAGCCCGGCCTGTTAAAACACTTGACCCATGGCCGACACTGCCTCTGAGAAGGAAGAAATCAGAGATGTGTCTGCGAGGGAGTTTGGTTCTGCTACAGCAGACAGTGGCGGTGGACAGCGTTGTGCGTGTTGTATTTTCTCACAACACAGGGTCACGGCGATGTGATTTTGTGACCTGTTTGTCCAGGCTTCATAGAATAGGGATGGGTCGAGCCTTCATGGATAAGCGGTTACTAGTCTCTTAGGGAGGAAGGTTCAGGATTAAGGTGGGAGACAGTGGGGTGTCTGGAAAGAGCCCAGCAGATGGGCAGGGTGGGTTGGTACAGGGCTAGGAGGACCAGGAGGATTGGGAGCAGCCAGTACCTAGAGCCAGGTCCCCACCTGTAGTCCTGATTGTCCTGCCTGGGCAGTGGAGGAACAGGGCTGTGCCCGTCTATCCTGGATGACCAGAGAAAAATAAGTAAGAAAAGTCATGCCTTCTTTGCCAAATGGCAGCTGGGCTTCATTTGAAGACGCCATTGGATCTTACAGCCAAGCTATTTCTGAAATCCTGGTTTTCTTTTTCCCACATGTCTCTGGTCTTTCTTTTTCCTTTTTAAATATTCATCCATTTTATGATAATAGAGCGGTGGAGACAAAGATAGAGCACTCCCCACAGGGTCCTGACACTGCACCCACACCCCACCGCCGGGATCACAGGCACGTGTGTGCTCAGTGTTCTCAGGGAGGTCACCGGATGTGAACCGGTAACCTTCCCACGCGGGTCTGCCTTGCTGAGGGGCATGCCTCACCACTGCACCTCTCTCCAGCCCACAGCCTTTTGTTTGACAGACTGGATGGAGTCATCTCCTTGCAGGGGGAAATTCTTTCTCATTGCTCTGCCTAATCCTCATGGCAGAAGAGCCCCCGAGACCAGTGGTGCCAAGGGGATGGGAATGCGGGGGCGTTTCTGCAGAGCTGCGTTCCCTCCTGCCACGGCAACACATTTGGTAGGTAGGACAGTGCGACGGCCGTGTTTGGGACTGGCCGTCATGGTGATGTTTCTGTACGGGATTCTTGCTGTCAGGCGTATTGTGCGTGACATCAGCCTGCTAGGAGGGTTAGTGCAGCAGGACTCTGCATTTGGTCTGAGGCAAAGCAGACGCTTTGGTCCTCATCCAGCGGTTATTTACGGAGCAGCTAGGGGAATATGGCAGGGTTGAGCAGTCCGGGGCCAGACCATGTTTATGTTAGAATGTATTTGTGATCCCTCCCTTGGGGAATGGGGTTAGGAAGAGCTGTTTTTATATTTGCTTATGAAGCCCATCGGCAGTCATCTCCGATCATTAGCATTTCACAGGTTTCATTAAATGGTAGTGAAGAACACTAAGGGACTGGCCATTTGCACCACTTTGAAATGTACAGTCAGGTGGTGGTGTGTACATTGGCGCTGTTGTGTAACCTTCACCACCTTCTCTCCCTGGAATTCTTTTCGCCCTGCAGAACTGCAACTCCGTACCCAATAAAGAATGCTTACAACCCTGTTCGTGAAGACCAAAAAACCAAAATCTATCTCCTTGACTTGCAGCGTGAACAGGGAGTCCGTGTGGGCCGCAGCCTGGCTCCCCCGCTGGTTTCTTGAGAAAGCAAAGGGTCACTGTGTGCACAGCATTGTCCCGTGTATCTGGGGCGCGTTTGTAGGTGACTGCCTGTCCTGTTCCTGAGAGCCATGCCTGGGCACCTCCCTTGCAGTGCCCTTGAAGGGCTCCTCTCTGAGGAGTCAGTGCACACTGGCATGTGAATGCACTCGTGTTGCGGCTCGGGCAGACTCAGCCCTCTGGCCACGATGAGCCAGGCTGGCTTGTTGTCACTTGGCTATGAAAGGCGAGCTCCTCAGTGGCCGTGAGGAGCAGCTTGAGAGCTTTGTTTGCCCTGCGGCTTTGCCTGCT